CCCCGCATCGTTTGAGCACAGAAGTATTCGATAGTACCATCCCAAACTCTTTGGGAGACGGTGGCAGCAGGCTGAAACCAAAGAAGGGTGCCAAGTTTGAGAAATCGCTGAGCCCAGCATCCCCCTGCGATGCCTTAACAGTCCCTTTCAGAACTCTCCAGACCCCAAATCCCAACCCCAAAATCCCAAAACCCAATCCCCAGAACCCAAAAACCCTAAACCCAAGACCCCAAAATCCTAAACCCAACTGCTCCAGTGCTCCAGGGTCTGGACAAAAAGTAGCTCCAGTCTGCCGACTGCCCAATGGGCTGTGTCCTCCAAGGCCTGACTTCATATCCCTCCGGCCCAGCTTAGTCGGACAAATGCCTAGACCTCGGTTTCATGCATGTTTTGTTAAGTCTCCTATGGGTTTGAGGTAAGTTTAGGGTTGGGGCCGTGTTTTTTTTCCCTGCCACCAAGCTTGTCCGGCATGTTCAGAAATCAGAGGTGAAGATATCAGGATGAAAACGCTGGTAGTCGAAGGTTTGCAGGAATTTACAAACAGCTTTGCAAGGCATGCTCCCCTACTAGCCTCGTCCGTTTATCCCACCAGTGCTACTGCCCACTGCGCGGCCCCCGACCACGACTACCATCATTGGTATCTGGTGTCAATACTGTGCTACCTGCTGCGCATTGTTGGGGAGTTCATCTGTCAAGATGTAATTCGAACAGCCGCTAGCTGCGTTCCTAGCGATTTCATGTTTGGATTTGGAGCTCGAAGAATAATGGGCCGGGAATGCAATGGATTGATTGAGATTATAGAAGGCTTTAGTGAAGCAGCTCTCGTCTTCCTCCAGACATGAAGATGCACGAAGGTGCAAAGCATGCTCAGTCCCCAGCTGAATCCGCTGAATTCATAAGGCCTTGGCTTCCAGTACAAATCCCTAGCGATGCACTAGAGTCCCGTCTGATAAAATCAGGGTGAAGGAGATGGACTCACCGTGGGGCCACGAGACTGGTCTGCCGATGGGTCAGCATAAGCCACATCACCTTTGTTCGTACCGCCTCCCACCTGTCCACTTGGTTTCCCGCTTGAGTTGTCCCACTTCATTTTGGAGCGAGAACAGTGCCCCTAATCCCATTTGACAAGAGCTTTGGTTGGCAGCTTGCTTGTCATGGCTCTGAAAACCTCCTGTGAGCCTTTTGGGCTCGGGTGCAAGCCCAAAAAATGCCGAACTAATTACCCGTCGTAGTAGTAGTATTAGTAGTAGTAGTAGTAGTAGTAGCAGTAGTAGTAGTAGTAGTAGCAGCGATATGGACCATATCTCGCCAAAAGGTGTGGAATACACAGGTCTTATACGCACCAAGGGACCAAGGTCCAAGTATCAAGTAACACTCCAGGTCTTAGCTCTGTCGTCTCAGAATGCCTTCGTGTCCCTCATTCTCTTTTTGCCCGTACAGCAGCATAATGGGAGATGGATCTCGCTATCCGGCTTTATGGGAATATACAACCTGTTATGCCCAATTCCTACATTGTAGGCTCGATGTCATTTTCCACCTTCTTTTCCATTTACAAATTTTCTCTAATTATCATAGACATTATTCCCAATGAAGCTTCATTAGGGAATATTGGGCTGGACAGCGCAGATGCTTGGAAGCAGGCAGCCCCAGGTGGTTGCCGCCTTCCAGAACATTTAAATTGTTGGGAATTTGGCTTAAGCATGTGCATGCACTGTCGTCTTCTAGGCTTTTGAATTACGGTTGCACCGAGATTCTGGAGCAGTGTTTTTTTTCTGAGATTCAGGTTCAAGTTTGCAATTGAAGTTTCAGTTACGCCTGCAGTACAAGTCTCAGAGCGGCTCTGGAAAGAGCGCATACAAGGTAACACCCACAATGTGACGCTCAATCAATCTTGAGACCTCACGAAGCCACACCAATCCAGGGTGAGACCAACTTGATCCAACTTGCCTCACGAAGCAGCTGTCCAGAGGGCGCGTTCAACGCCTGCAGATTTCCAAGCGCTGGGCGAAGTGAAGATGCTTGAGAACAAGGGAGACAAGTTTGTCAAACAAGCTGGTCGAGGCTATGCGAACATGTACGAAAATCTGCAAAACAACGAGCACTTTCGGTTTCCATCCATGGCGCACTACCGGCCAACAAGGCCCGGGCGCGGGAAAGAGCATCTGGCTCGTCGCCGAAGGAGGTGAGATAAACCACCGGCAGCAGCTTCGGGCCTGACTGCCAAGCATTCTGCTGGAAGCCTGAATAGTGGTGCCACTGAGAAGGATGCCGGCATGGTCTAGATTCTGGAAGATGAGGGTGCTACTCTGAATCAAGTTTGCGTGCTGGGTCGCGCTCATGACTTCCGAGCTCATTGATGCTGCAGCCAAACTCGGGCATCGTCCTGTCCCTTAACCCATTACAGTAGTTTGCATCTTCTTTTCCATAATCCCCAAATACCCCCAATATAACCCTAATATTTCACCTAAACCCTAAACCCCTAAACACCTATGTCTAATCGCACCCAGAATATCTGCCAGATCTGCTGTTCAAATCAGTTCATACATTGGGGTTATATGGGGATAATGGAAAAGAAGATGGAAACTACTAGATACAATGATTCCGTCAGCCTGGGACACAGCAGAAGTTTATGGATAACAATTTGCAGCAATGCTACGCAAGCTTCAGAGCCAAATCTCAAAAAGGTCCTGCTGGGAGAACTTTCTTGAGGCATGGATTGAGCAAATTCAATGAGAGACTGGCCCAGCTGCATTGCTCGCAGCCGAAAGACTGTGCGAAGTGCCGCCACCTTTGATGAAGTGAACGCCATGCTTCCAGAGGCAAATCCACAGAGTAATCGTCGATACATGTCGATACCATGGTCTGAAAACTAAGCCCCCTACACCCACAGGCGTCAACAGCCACTGTGGCGTGAGAAGTGGGATGAGCGCCTTGCAGGACCCAGGATTTTGTTCCACTATTAAAGGGTGGAGGACGGTCCGCGTGGGAAATAGCAACTCCACGACACCCCAACGACGACTCGAACAACTGCACAACAATCTGTTGGGTTCTCAACCTGCGCGTTGAACGCAAGCTTTTCCAACCCCATCCGTGCCTGGAATCAACTGTCTGCCTCAGACTCTGAATATCAGTCGCCTATACCGACGGCCTCGCACTCTGGCACTGCCCATCCGCCCTTCGTCAGCCGTGACAATCGCACCTTCAAGGTGGCGTCTACCAAAACATAATCTGCCACTTGGCGGTGCCAGCGCTGACAATGCTTCAGCTTGCCTCTATACTCTTGAAGCTTCTGCGCAGCCTTCTCGAAGACCCGAGCCTGGCCGGGAGCTTGGGGAGATACTCGCAAACATCTTCCAAAATGTCTCGTCGTGCGTCATACGGCCTGCAACCTACCTTTGTCAAGCAACAAGCCCTGCAAAGGGAACCATATATTACCCCTATATATTCCCTACATAACCCATTATAGTACAGTACTTTCCATTTTCTTTTCCNNAACCCCATTATAACCCCAATATTACATTTCTAAGAGTCTACAACTCCCATGCTTCACATCTGCCTCTTGTTCAGGTCGTCGATCAGGAGCAGGCCAAGGTTCTGCATGCACAGCTCTTAGGCCATGATAGTGCTAGCCGCTAGAATGATACAGAGTGAGCAGCATGAAAAACGGCAGGTGCCAGTGTAATGGGTCCCAAGGCTTGATCATGGAGAACGCTGATACCGGGGATATCCTGGGGTCTGCTGTGGGTAGGGCATCCCAACCACAACCTCAGATATAGAACTGGCGCTGTGAGCATGTCACTCCTACAAGAAAGTGGCAAGTCAACAGAAAGTGGCACCTCACAGTCGGAGTCCACACCGACACATACCTGCTCGCATGTTCGGGCAAGTGTCCAAGTCATAGGGTGTGTCCGTCAGCAGTATATCTCCTTTGCCGTTTGAGTCTGGCGAGACCGCTCCGCGCTTGAAACACATTGACATGTGAGTAACTGCACAAGACTCGAGCCCGCACCCCCCCCCCCCCCCACAAAAGAGCGCGGACAGTGTTTGCAACTTCCCTTGCAGCCACTCATCAATATGGCAACAGGACTCCTGTGACTTACCGCAAGTTGTACATGCAACACGCCCCAGAGCTGGGGACCCAGAACATTCCCTTTCAGCTGAGGGCGTTGCAAAGAGCGACTGTGTGGGAGCAGGTCGAGCCTACAAGCAAAAGGCACTGTTACGATGTAGCTAGTTCAGTTCCGTCACGTGACTCCTACCATGTTACAGGTTAAAACCTTTGATGCAGGGGCCAAAGCCTTACAGAAGTTCCTGCTCAACTAACTTGTGCCCATTGCAAGCTGCCCACAATTCAGGCCCAGCGGCGGTGGATTCAGATAATCATTTTTTCCCCTGGCTGCTTCGCGCTGCGCTTGTGCCACGAATGTATTCCGCGGCCTTGGAGCACCTAGCAATGGCAGCTGCTCTTTGACAATGCCCAGCGTACAGCCTTTTCTCAATACACCACAGGCCTTTCAAACACATTCCCCATATTCGCTGCAAACAACTATAGGAACCACCATGCTGGCAGTGCAAACAACGCGCCCGAAATTGAAGACTGCTTTAGACTCACCTTTCCCTGAACCTCGCACTGCACTGCGAAATGTCCGGACATGTAGACTCACATGTGAACCATGTAGAACGCGGAGTGCCGTTCCACAGGATCTATGCTAATTACATCCGCTTCAAAGCTTGGGAGTATACGACAGCCCGGCAGTATCAGTCTTCTGCGGAGTGTCCCACTACGCAAGAGCAGAGGATCATCTGCCGAACCACTGCAGTAAAGGCAATACAAACACCTGAGAGGTTCGTTCAGACCAGCTGCCATCATCTCAGGTTGCCAGCATGTGAGAAGGTGAAACTTTACAACTTCAACGGGTGCACGAAGTTACAGGAATCATGGAACCGCCTTGTTTGACGTTCTGATGCCCGTCTGGCAGGCAGAATCCCCAAAGAAATTGTCAACGAGCACCCAACTTCACTGCATAGGGTGACAGCTTCAGGCGGGTCTCCATGGGCAGGCAGGACATAACCTGGCACCATGTCAGAAACGCACCGGAACCCCTGGGCCCCAAGCCACAAACCTGCAACTGCCGTTGCAACAGATTGCCCTGCCACTGCAGAAGCACACATTATTGCCTGGGACGTGTCAGGCAGTAGGAGGTTGGCATTGCAAGGGAAGTTGACGCTGCTTGTTTGCATATTTCATGCCATGTAAGCTCCCAGGGGACAAGAGAACTGAGAAAGAAAAGCGTGTGTACAAAGAAGGCCAGCCCGAGCGGAACACACAAAGATCCTCCCCTTTGGGACCTTCATTCCCCGTTTGCCATCAAAAAGGTACCCCCTGTTGCACGGCATATGTCGTTCAAGGAGCCACTGGGTGTACACTTTAAGAATCCCATATGCGCATCCCTTATGCAAGCTTAGGGTTTAGGGCTTAGGTGCTTAGTCATGATGCCAAAAGCTGCGGGAAAATCGCAAATTGGCAATGATTCCCATCGAAAACCTGAACTCGTGCCGGTTTGCACAGGCAAAGCCCAGCCAACGCTACAGTCAACATTCCAAAGCTGTGGGAAACCCGCCACTTGGCTAGATTGCACATTTTGGCTATGATGCCCATTGAAAACTAAAGCCGTGTAGGTTTGCATGGTCACCGCCCAGTCAACCCTACCATATCCGCTACCAAAACTGTGGGAGATCACCACTTGGCCAAACTCCACAGGAAAAGAATGTAGGCTTTTGAAGCTTTTTAATATGAAATTTAGCCAAGTTGTGGTTTTCCGCATTGACTGTAACGTTTTCTGAGCGTTGACCTTGCAAACCCAGACGACTTTAGGTTTTCAACGGGAATCATAGCCAAATAGCGATTCCCAGAGCTTTGGTAATGTTGACTGAGTGTTGACTGCGCCAAGCTGGCTAATGGCCTTCTATGGCTGTAATCGATATCATCCCTATGCTCCGTGCCCCTGATTGCCCCTTCAGTCTATTAAAGCGGATCCCTAAAGACATCCTCTCTGCTGACGAACCACGAGAAAGTATTTATGACAACCTTGTGTAAGTAACCCTGTCCTATATATGCAGCCACTAGAGAATCCGGTATAATCCCAAAACTGTCGCCTCAAAGTACTGCTGCAACTGAAGCTCTGGGGGCTGCCGCTTCCTGGGATATTGCCATGGAACATGTGGGTGCTCATTCGTGCTCAACGCAGGATAGATTTTTTGAGTAAAGACTCACTAAGGCTCATCGGGGAATTACAGGACCCCTCTCCAGAATCCTATACTGTGGACCCTTCATAATACTTCCTCACATCCACGTCGAAAGCCAGCTGGAAGTCCATGAAGATGTGAGCTATAATCTACACTCCTAGTATCCCCCTTAATAACCCCTATAGTAGTCACCTATACAACCCCCATTAAGGAGTTTAGACTACAGCTCTAACATCAGAATTAAGACAGGAGCTCTCTTCAGGGTCAGGGCAAGGCGGCTCAAGTAGGCCGTGTCATTACAAAAGGGTAGATGCATCTTTGCGTTCCAGAAGCTCGTAAGGGCCTTCTCATGAGGTCACCAAAAGTCTTCAAGACAGAGCTGCAGGCAAGGTGAGGAGGCCTGTATTTGACAAATAACCACGGAGAGTCCGTCACTGGGTTTGGCAAGCCTTTTTCTTCAAACTCCACAGTTGGCAACAAGCGCTTGCCTGTGTTTTGTTCTGTGATTTGTCGGTTGTCTATCCAAATCAGATTGCGCATGTACAAACTAATGCTAATGCCAAACCGTCACTGCGTCGGATGCCCCCAATATTCGATCCCTGGCCCCGCCCCTGTTTGCATCTCTACCTTGCTCATGATGCCGTGCTCACTTTCATAGCCTTCATGGCTGACCCATCATCCGAACGTGGGAACCCTTCCTAAAGAAGAATGCGAACTAGCTCAAAGGCGCCATACCTTTGGTACTGTCCCCGATATGCCCAGATAAGGTAAGGATCTGTGCCACACTGTTTGTGGCCGGCAGCGGGTTCGACACCCCCGCTAGCCAAGAGGCCTGACAAAGATGCATCATGCCCCGTGTTTCAAACGTTCTTATTGCAATATGGACATATTCTACATCGCTGGGAGTGTCACCGTCTTCGTCAGCATCACAACTAGCAGTAACTAGCATCTGCAACACAGCCGCGCGCACCAACATGAGCATCCGCATCTTCCGCTTGATGTTGCGCAGCTACGGACTGTCAAAGACCAAGCAGAAATCAACCGCAAGCACGAGCCTCGGCGGATGCCAGGGCCACGTCTGCGGAGGGACCTGCAGGAGAAGGGGAGCCTGAGAAGGATGGGAATCGGCTTAAAAAGGGCTGCCCCTAGAATTCTGACTTGCCCATGCTGTATTGCATGACCGATGAGCCCATCAGAAACGGACGCGCTGCCTACAGCTATACCAGAACCACTGTAGGCTTCGTAGCTTGGATGTGCAAATTCAATGGTGCGGCCAGCCCGTCATGCTAATGTGAAGTGTGAGAATTGTGAAAAAGGCTGTGCCCTGAGGCTACCAAAAATATACTAACAAAAGGTCCAGACTTCAAAGTAGTGTGCAGTTTTGGGCGCATCTGAAGCTCACGTCAACCTAGCCACAGTGATACAGCCTCTAAGGTTTCGGGTACCCCAAAAACGGATCATAATCTTAACATCTCATATCAAAAGCGGAAGGTTCTTGCACACCTCAGCTTACCGCAGGACCAGCCCTGAGCCCAAAGAGTCTTCAGCCATTGAGGGCCAACGCATAAATACCTTGATCCCCACTGCAGAATAGCAAGTACACATCAATCATATTGAGCAATACCCTCCATCTTTGTTTCAAGCGTTGGTGACAGGGCCATCCCACAACACTACTTGCTTTGCTTGCCGGGGTGAGGGGATGAGAATTTCTTGCCCCGCAGTTGTGTGTTTACAATTGGCTTGCACGCAACGGGAGGCTCCTCAGTGGGCATCGATGCCCGACAAGGGGAATTGTGGTGCACGCACCAGTCTGGTGTACCTGAGCCTGATGTGTCAACTGCAATATGAAACCATGGTGGATGGTATTAATGCTCTTCTTATTTGTGCTCTCTTCCTCCTCCTCCTTCTTCTTCGGTCTATGCGCGCCCCGACAGGCGTGCCAGGGCAGAGCCCCGGCACAGTGGATGTCCACAGATTACCGGTCTCTGTCTCTCTCTGTCGTCTGTCTGTCTGCGCTGCAGGGAGTATCTGTTGCCATGCGCCAGGCCATGTCTAAAACTGCTGGTCATGGTAATGATTTTTACCTCAGATCGCCAACAGTCAAACAGGAGATAACGAGAATGGTGCTGCATAAAGCCTTGCAGCACATCGCTTGCGATCGAGGCCCCCAACCCCTTCTCCACCCCCTGACTTGCCCTCAGGCTGCAGCTAGTTCCGTCGATGTTTAGCATCCAGCACACAGGGGTGAAACATTTACACACCCACACATTGGTATACATATATCATGTAATGCCTTTGTTTATACAAGGGGGTCCAAAAAAAGTCTATGGTATAAAGTTTCAGCCAAAGCCTTCTTGCCTCCTTGGGCCCCGAAGGTGCTAAAGGTACTCTGCAAGCTGGGAAGGTTCAGAGCCAGCGACCTAAGGACACCATTTGAATAGCGGTTTTTGGGGTAGTTGAACCAAGTAGGGTTGTATTCATTATATGAAAATACTATACCCAAAAGGAGGATATAATCTTACTCTATATTGGGCACCATAATAGCCCCGAATGAAATACTACTCATGTGGTGTTGCTGTTCCGATGCAATTCTATGGTTAATACAAGTGCGAGGCTTGTCCATAGCCGCAGTAAGAAGAAGCACAAAAAGAACAGGGCTGCCTTGAAGCCACTGGGCTCGGGCTTTGCTAGATTACCAGGATCAGGGGACCTGTTTCCTGGTGAGGCCTTGTGGACTGACAGGTCTTGTGTTAAGAAGCTGAGGATGCGCCACCAGGGGAGTCTCACCGGAGGTCGGAGAGCTTTCGTTTGGGACCGTCCAAGTGCAGTCTCCAGCTACTGCTCCAAGAGGTCGATGCTTGCGCCCTCTACCTGCACGATAGAATGAACCAAGGCAGCTGTGCGTGTAAGGCTTCACTGCTTTGCAGGCTCTCCCTGCGCTCGAGCAACACGTGCGAATCTCAAATGCAAACGGCTCCAAAACTGCCTAACTTTTACATGTTCAACTGCTACTTGCACAAATCTTCTAGATGCATGCTCACTGCTGGACACAAAGAAAGCTCTGCTCGCGCCGGCTCGCAGCGTCCAGGCGCATTCCGCCTGAAAGTATCCGGGCATAAGTCCAGCCACCGATGAATGATTCCACATGATTCGCCATTTTTTGCGAAGCGATTCTCATGGATGGACTGGCATGATCAGGGTCAGGGACTGAAACGCGTGAGGACAAGCCACGTTTCTCCCAGCGCAGGCAGCTGGAGAAAACTGGAAGATCGACTGCAGAGCAGAAACTAGGGCTCTACTTAAATCAGGGCAACCAGGGTCCCTCACATGCCACTTACATGAATTAAAAGCCCCCAGCCTCAAGAGGAACCGATCTCTATCTGATGTCCACAATCTTCCCAGGAGACCCTTTTAAAGACCAAGAGCACACCGCTATCATGAGAAATTCGCTACCACAAGTCCTTTTCTCTCCAAAATCGCTTGCAATCCCTGCGTGCGTAACCCACTACAGGAACCTGCTTTGTAATTACTGTATTTCAGGAATTGATTGGAAATTCCCATGCATTCCTTACATACCCCCTAGGAAAGCCCCCTAGTGCTGCCCTCAACGTGCTCCTTCTTCGCGGGCGTCCCTGCTTGGGAGGCTGCGGAGCCGCAGACGCTGATGGTCCTGCTGTGGGCTAGGATTTATAGTCCCAGTAAATAAGATAGAATATGGGGTGTATGAGGATCTGAGTATAATATAACCAGAGCCATATTCTATCTACTGAAGGGGGACTATACAGTTTAGGGTTTAGGATTAATCGAGGGTCTCTTGAAATTCCTGAGTTGCTGTTGCGAAGCTTAAAGTAAATTTGCATGATGTGGACATATAGTACATAGGAACTCCAGGTGAGGCCCCCTCCATTTACTCTCCAAAAAATCTCCGACAGTACTCGGTGAAGATCTTTCTTAAGTGGGACCTTGCAAAATGGATCGCAGAGTGACAAAGTCTCCTATAGGCTATGCTTGGGGATTTCGAAGATTTTGGAGAATCCTGCGAGCTTATAGGGCCTGGCAGTTCTATCGACAACAAAAAACCCAAAAAAGAAGGCACCAACCCCAAACACCTTTGGGAGCATTTGCGTCCGCTAACGGTCCTCAGAGGGATCCTATCATGAAAAGCGAAGTCTGGAGCTCACTAGCCTGGGGCCCAGCATGTACTGGCATTCCTTTACAATAGTCATATAGCTGTTTTTTGCATTCATACTTCAATACAATACATCGAGGCTCTTCGTAATCACATTTATTCCGTTCATGTCTCAGTACAATTCGTTGAAACTCTTCCTTTCTCACTGTTCAGGTCACTGGATTACCCTGCCCACTCTCTCTCTCGCCTGTCTGCTCCATGCATCGCTCCACATCTTGCTCGGCCTGCCACTGACGCAGATGCAATCAGGACGACTGATCCAAAGACCCCTGTTGTCTACTATGACACAGACTTTCAGATCCCTTGTATGGATCACGACCACGGGGGAGCATTTCTCTTTTAAGGGTCTACACGAAGGCGGAATGTAGCCAGCAGCCCCGCGCAAACTTACCATATGCAACTCCTGAGCACCCATCTACATCTAAAAAACTTCAATGTGTCACATGTGTATACATGCATATAATGTTCACATGCGGTAGTGGCTCAAATGTAAGTTTGGCAAACCAGGAGGGCCCAAATGCACCCATAATCCTCGGACAGCATGAACGAAACGTCCGACTACAAGGATTCTCACGGTCTCTCTTGAAGGCCAACTACAGGAGGGAGCTTGCAATGGGGGAGTTCATATAAAGCGTATATAGGGACGTATACAGTAATAAGGCTTGTGTAATGTCCCTACATGGTAACTCCCCTGCTTTAAAAGCCCTGCTACCAAATTCCAAGCAGAAATTCACTGCAGCCCTGGCCTTCTGTTCCTGACAGCGCTGCAGCGACTCAGGTGGCAAATCACCCGGGGCACCTAAGCAGCTTCTTCCTGGTTCTTAGTACGGGATATGGGTATATCATTCCCTTGTTCCCTACTAAGAGCCAGTAAGGCGTTTGGTCCCATGCCGGCACAGTCTTTCAGGGTGCTTGGGTCTTCACACTTACGCCTCTTGAACAAAATGAAGCAAGGATTCTCCATTAATGAGGGGGCCATTCATCTCAGGACCTTGTTTAGCAATTGCTGACAAAAGGGCAGACATCAAGCCTCAACGGAACAGTCATAAGTTTGGAAATCACGTGGCGCAAACGACGGGATCTGTAAAGCTTCATGCTGTATGCCTCAAGCCCATGGCTCTTGGGGCCAAGATGTGCCTCCAGAATGGGGATAGGCATGAGTCATGAGCCTCTGGGCAGACTGCTCTTTAGGGCTGCTCTGGGCAGTCGAGTCACCATCCCAATCAGTGGGCGCATGGAAGTGGTGGTGGTGGTGCACGTGGTGATGATCCACAAAGACCTGAGAAGGAAGATTGGGTTTCAAGAGCAGAAGGGAGCGCCGTGCCAGTCTGCAAGGCGGTTTCCCCAAAGCAAAGCAACGATGACAGGTGCTGATAGGAGCTGACGTCTCTGTTTGGAATGCTTTTTGCAAAGCTCAGGTGGCGACCACTCTCCGCGCCTTTTCTTCCGCAGGCCCCTGCCGATGGCCTCTGGGCAACGTAGCTTAGCTGGGGCGCAATGGTATGGTGGCAAAGTAGGCATTGATACCACAAGGTTGGCGCAAGCAGGCAGTCTGTCCTGTGACGCCTAGTCTAGATCGACAACAAGACGTCTGTGCCGAAACCTCATATGTACTACATACTTGCAGCTGGCAAACTTGTTCGACACGAGTACGCTGACCAAAGCTTCATGCAAGGGGGCATGCATCAGCAGTGAGTTCAGGCGATCCCGCCAAAGCGGCAAAACCAACTCAAGATTTTGGCTCAAGGTCATGGAGTGACATGGAAACTTTGTAGGCAAGAACTTCAGCCATAACTTTCTTCTGGCCTGCCAATGCATGGGCTCACCCTCATGCCCCCACAATTTGGGTTCCTCACATCTGCTACTGTATGCTGTTGTCTGGACAACAAACCATCCAATAACTGATTTCTGACTCTTTCAACAATCCAGCCATTCAGTCGGAAACCTCGGCCGCGCGTCACGGGCCGCGCAGTGGGCCGCCTGTGTTCCGGCACAGATCCAGAATGGAATGCTGCATCCTTCTGATGAATACGTTGCTAACTTATCCACCTTTGGCTTGTGTTAGTAGACTCACATGTAAGAGCAAACAGATTCTTCGAATACTTTGGAAGTCCACTCTCAGCCATCCTACAAGTATCACCACTCCCAAGCTTTCCAAACTTCTGTGGTCTTGCCGTTCGGCCATTCATGCCTGATGAGACGTACCCAGCGGGTTTGAATGATTCCAGTACGTCATGCGAGAGATGTGCGTCTGTAACCTGCGCCGCTGATTAGGCTGGCACAGCCTCCCCAACAGATCTGAATGTCTTCCCACCGTCATTTCAACCTTGGACTCCACAAACAAGCGCTACGGTACCTATAAAATGGCCAAAAAGCCTTCTGATCCTTTCCCATAACGCCATACTCAGATGCACTCAGTCAAGCTCTTGACAACCCCTCAGCGTAGTTTCCCTGTGCTGCAATCGGCTGTGAAGGCACTCATCCACGGTTCGTCGCTCCAGGCTCCAGTCATCAAGCGCCGGTTCCTTCAAGCGAAGCCACATGAATCCCACTGCAATCCAACAAGCTTCAGGACCTGGCTACCAGGCCAAGTGGAGAGGTCAAGTTTCAAAGGCAGAAAAAAGTGGCGCAAAAGAACCTACCAACATGTTAAGCGGGAAGGGATACTGATGATGGGTGTGCCGCGCAGGTGCTAGTGCTGAGATACCTTTGGGTCCTATTAATACAATAGTAAGAGCTCTATCAAATCGTATAATAGATATTCTCCAACTCCTAAACCCTAAACCCTAAACCCAAGGGTACCTTGTTATCAGGGCGTGCCTGGTCCATCATCCGCAAGGAACTCAGGTTTAGCCCATGGCCTCAGCTTAAAAGCTGTGATTGTCGGGATCATGAAATACACGTAGCAACAATAATAGTGATAGTAATGGTGATAGTAATCGTAGTGGGAATAGTAATGGAAATAGGAATAGTAGTGATAATACGAATAGTAATAGTAGTAATAGTAGTAGTAATAATAGTAATGGTAATAGTAATAGTAGTAGTAATAGTATTAGTAATAGTAGTAGTAATAGTAGTAGTAATAGTAATACTAATAGTAATAGCAATAGTAATACTCATAGTTTAATGAGGATAGTACACATGATATCAGAAATGATATTAAAAAAGCAATGATAACAGCAGTAATGGTATTGGCCGCTACGATGGTTGCCACGAATCGCGTGGGAAGTTTGGGATGCTTCCTCATAGTGCTACTCACACTGCCGCTGCAGCTCTTGCTGTTTCTGCTGCTGCTGCTACTCCTACTGCTACAGCTACTGCCACTGCCACCACTGTCACCACCACTGCTGCTGCAGGCCCCGCACCCGCAGCAGCCCCATCCCTGCCAACCCCCCACCGCCGGCTCTGCTGTTGCCGTAGTTCCAATCACTGAAGTCGTGGCCACGGCAACTGCCACCAGGTGCTCTCCTACGAACTACCATCTCTCGTGACATGAACTTGCATCAAGATCACGGTGACCAGGGCCCCTTGTAACTCAACACACCTTGCCTCAAGCGACGCAGAGCGTGGCTCCTGCTTTGTTACAAGCGACCCCACTTACAGACATGAACGAAGCCGACTGCCACTAAGATCCTTTTTCCATCCGGGCCTTGCGAACATCCTAAGCCACTGACTCACTGTCCGTCCTAGCCTATGGAGGCATATCCAACAGAGCAATTGCTTTCCGAGTCGCTGCATCAACGTGCTACATATCTCTGGCTTCTGTTGGGCCACACAGCAACAGCAGGCAGCAGGGGGAAAGATGCATGCGGGGCTCCCGCGTCGGCCCGCGTCCCTCTGCTCTGCTCGGAGTGTCAAGCAATTCCCAGCAACACGCTAGGTTGCTTGTTTTGCTCATAATGTTGGGCAACGAACCAAACAAAGGACACACACACACACACACAAGATGCCACACGTGAACTTGCTCAGAAGTTGTATCTAGTCTGGACTTAGCACAGGGGTTTCTAAGACGTATCCTATTTCCAGAGTTCTTTGCCACTAGTCATCTTATACTACCGTTTACCGGCAGTATACGTTCTTCGCAACTCAACTCATGCCACAACACCTGATCTCACCATCGTCAAAAATTGCCCAAGGAACTATTTTGATCACTAACGCTTGAAAGTCTAAGGCTACTTGCCCTGTACCCCAACGACACCTCGCTGCCCGGGGCATCCGCGGGCGCCTTTTCCTTTGGGACCCCACGAATTCTAGAAAGGTTTGGGGGTGTTGTTGTTTAAGTTTTGCCACTTGCAAAGCCTGCTTAAGGGAGACTGGAGAAGAAAAGACCCTTATTATCATGATCCTTATCTATGATCCCTACATATATATATATATACACATACACATATGTATATATATATATACTGTATCTATTCACATATATCCCTATAACGGTCCCCGAATTAACTCCCCCACTCCCCTCTAAGCAACAGCAAGGTAAGGCTTGAAAGTGAACAACATCCAACAAGGTCAGTCTCTGGGAGTGTAAAGCGTGTAAGAAGATATGGCAGCGCGCGCACGTAAATTCTACATATCCGATCATATCCGTATATCCCTATATGGTACGGGGGAACCCAAATATAGACACCAAGATACTATCCCCAAAAAGTATCCCCCAATTGTAGGAAAGTCTCATATAACCAGTTTGTAACCCCCAGTCCTCTGCTTTGGAGGGCTGGCCCTTGAGGCCTGCAAGTATCATGGATTCCCCTACTACCCCTCTAAACTAACCCCCCTAGTTCCCCCTTAATTGAAGTTACTTAGGGATAATTTGGCCTAATTAAGGTTGATTGGGGGGGAACCTCAGGGGGTAGTGTAGAGGGGTTAGTAAGGAAACCCATGAGAGTACGCAGTGCAGGCCAAGAATTCTCACACTTCCTTGGGGTTTCCAAATAGAAGCTGGGGCAATATAAATACGTAAGCGGAGAATGAGCAAGACATTGAAACTGGGCGTAGATATAGGGTTATACTGTTCGGTTCGGGAACCTACTTATACAGGATTGCAAGAGAGTGATGATGGGCCGAATATTTTCTTTGATTCAGCCTCGATTCCTGCTTGCATGCTGCAAAAGTGGCACATGTTGGAATAGTCAGATGTCAACATAGCACCCGAAACAGTCCCCGTGTTCATGACCAACATGCTTTCAAAACCCTTGAGCAAGCCACACACCCCCAACCCCAAACCCCAAACCCGAAACTCTAAACACCCCTGAAAGAAGCATGCCGAGGTTACACCCCGTGGCCAAACAGTCGAGTCTTATTAAACCTCACTAATCTGGCCTTTGGTGAGCCAGGAATGAAGTCCATTCCTTTTTGTGGTCCCTATATAACCCATTATAATCGTTTCCATTTTCTTTTCCATTCCTTCATTCCCAGCTAACCAAAGACCAGTAATATCAAATACTCCCCATTGTGGTATATTCTAATATATGGGGCATATTTGATATTAGGGGGGAAAGGGGGGTTTAATGTGAGGGTGAAGGTATTTAATTCAGTGCTAGCCCGTAATTTCAGTTTTAGAGTACAGGGAATCGCTTTCCTCCGTTGGTGAGACTTACCCTTCAGCTCTCATGCTTACGCGATTAGTCTGTCCCGCTCCCTCTCCACGGTCTTCAGGTGATGTGTCAAAAATTTGGCACGTCCGCGCAAAAGCCGGGGTCACAGTATAAAATGCAATTCAGGATCTGTGGTGCTGGACCCTCAGTCTTGAGTCCTCAATCCCTAGTAAGCCCTTAGATTTCGCATAAATGCATAAGTTCCTGCACACTGTATACTACCTCCGGCAGCTCTCTAACGACGCTCCGGCGCCTCCGGGCGCCTGCCTGCCGACCTTTGCAGCTCAGGATATGTCGGCTGCAATAGAAGGTTTTTGCTTTCCCCCAGTTTGCACTCAGCATGCAGATACGGCTCTAAGTCCAGCAAACATTCTTAAGCACTCATCCCTAAGAATAATCCCTAAACCCTTTTTTGCTGCTGGACTTGTTCAGGCGCCAGCCAAACCCTAAACCCTAATAATACTAATAAGAAGAAGAAGAAGCCCCCCGTAATAAGGCATGCTCCACCCAGAGAAGCTCCACCAAGTCCCGGAGCATCCCGGAAGACTACTTGTCAAAGGACCAAGACTGCTTTTATGAGGGATCCCGATAGAAATGACTTAGGAAGGTTCTGAGGGAGGGTCCTGAAGTATTTCAGGGAGTTATAAGGAATGACAGTGACATTGGTATCCGCTCTGTCTCCTTTTTTTCGGAGTTTTAGTGGGCGTTTATAGAGAGGAATTTGCATGACACAATCTCACTGATGTCGAAGTAAACTTGCGGGTCTTCGTAGTTTCCTCAATTTTGTGCCGAGTCTACTTTATTGCTGACCTGGATTTTGATTGATTTTGATGAGATTTCCAGCGAGTTTAGAGGGACATTTATTGTTGCCCACGTTCTTGAGATTTTCAATGGGTCTAATCTCTGTTTGATGGATTTGAATTAGATTTTGACTGGCATTAATGAGATTTTGGTTGATGTAGACAGGCTTTAACTGATGTCAGACAGGCTTGAACTGATTTCCGTTACATTTCAATGGATTCTCACGAGATTCTAGGTGTGTTTTCATTGGCTTGATTTTGTAATTGAACTTTGATTGCCTTCCGAGAATTTTTAATGGAATTTGATGCAAGGCATTGTACATGGTTTTGTGCTGGATTTAATTTGAGTTTAACGTGTTTTCAATTGGTCTCAGCCAGCTTTCTATTTGATGGAAAAATAAACCTTCGCAACTTCAAGCTATGTTTTAAGCAGATTGCAATTCAATCATTCTCATCTTGTTTCGCTCATCTGATTTGACGTCACTTTCGTGTTCACGCCAATTTGAAGTTACTTGATTTGCGCCGGGATTTTAGAGGGAACATCTAATCAAACAGGCCCTTTGCAACAACCCAGAGTCAAGTATCCGGGGTGGACTTTTTAATCAGCCTGGAGGCGTTGATGATTAGGTGGAAGAAGCGGTTCAAGCGTTCAGGGTCCACAGGGTCCAACGTCTTGGACCCTAAACCCTAAACCCACACAGAGGTTCCAGACTTCGGCCTACACCCTCTAAACCCAAGCATGATCACTTACCCGCCCGAAGAGCACAATAGTCCCCCCTCAAGTAGATAGAATATGAGGTATATGGGGATCTTATCATCACATACCCAAAGCCATATTATTATTCACTTAAGGGGGACTATAGACCATAAGCCCCACATCTCAAACCCCCATGGCTGCCATGGAGAGTCTCGGCCCCGAACGGCTGGCGCAGCTCCGGCGACTTTGGCCGGGAGTGGCCTCAGGGCTTAGGGCGCTATAATTTGGGTCATTCCCCCACCCAGAAACTGTCCTTGAAGGGAGCCTCATTAAGGGGCTATTATAACTCCTATTACCCCTTGTGGTAACTGTTACTGTAAGGGGGAATGACCCAAAGTATAATAGTAATGCCTAAAAAATCAGTCATAATAAGAAGAAGAAGAATGGAAAGTATTATCAGGATAGTTGATTAATATGATCGTAAGTTTCTTCATTTGTAGGGCTTGGGGAAGAAGTCATGCGCAGGGTTCCATTGAAGCTTATTGATGCATAGAACAGTTGTTGCTGGTGGCCGTCTCCTCTATTATCACATATATGCTGCACAGCAAGGTTTGCGGAATCCGTCGGCTTCAGGGCTCTGCCCAAGCCTCGTTCTCCTGATGTGGAGCCGCGTGAGGGTGAACATGCAAAGGTTGCTTTGTCAGATATAAGGGGACGTTCCTCCTTACGATGGCATCG